AAATCCTATTGGTTGATGAGATAACGCGACTTCCACTCAAACTCGTCCTACTTACTTGAACAGTTCTATGAATTAATTATCCAAAACTGAAATCTGCTGTTCTTAATGACTAGGCCTTTAATAAATTGGTCTAGCTAAAGAAACTGGACTTTGTTAAGTAACAAAGCTACACAACCACACTTCACACTTCATTTCAATCTCAACGTTCACACTAATTGATTCACATACGCCCAGTTGCGTCCCCAACTGGAGTTTTCGTCCTCAATAGATATGATGACGATCATATACTATTTTCTTATGTACTTGGTTTGTCCATGTACCGTAGTAATTTTAATGTTTTTGAGATAAGAACTCTAAGCCTAATTGGGTCGTTTTAAGACTGAGAAAATTGTTAAAATATTTAGACACGTACTTTTCATTATTTTACATTTTTAATACATCACATAAGGAAATCAATAAACATTGCTAGTTACATTATGATACAAGAGGAAATACAGAAACTTATACTTACTCTATGACTAGTCACGACACTCGTGTTCGTTTCCTCCATGGACCATCAGATGTCAGGTCCTGCTTCTTCTCCTTACTTCCGGTCCATTGTAAACCGATAAAATCTTCGAGAGGTGATACTTTCTAGCCCCAAACAAGTTTTGTACAGGAAGACTTCCGTTATTTTGTCTTTCACTTCGCACATTTGCAATCATCTGATTACCGTAATTTAACAAACGCGTAACTATGTTTATTATAACTCAAGTTGCGTTAAAATTGAAAAATAGGTCGTCCAGCTTTGACTAGGACAACCCAGCCAGATTATTCGGGAGGTAAAAAAATGCAATACAACATGTGTCCTATCTCAAACCGTTTAGCGTCTGTCTGTCTGTAAGTACTTTTTACGAAAAAACATGCATAACTCCTTCGGTTTGGGCTATAGCGTCGAAATTCAGCAAATATGTTTATCGTTTTGCCCTCTACCTTAGTGTAAAACACGAATAAGAAAACTTATAACCGTTTCAAAATGGTGGTTATTTTTGGGTTTTAAAGCTTAATATCTTCAAAACTATAAGTTTTGTAGATGGTGCAAAGATTGTTATGATTGGACATTATCAACTGAGCAGTTTGAACTGTGTTAGTATTAAAATATGGAAAGCTGTAGAGCTGAAGACATTGTTATCACAGCCTAAACAGCTAATTGTTCAACAAGCTGGTTGGCCAAACAGCTGGTTGGTCTAAATAATCAAAATATTGTAGGCTATTTTATACTCAAAAAGACGTTTCAAAAAGAGAGATAAAATATGTTGAAGGGGTTTGGTATCATAAATTATAAATATCAATTAACAGCTGTTGCTGCTGATTTTTTCTCTAGAACAGCTGTTTTGTATTAGGTAGATTTTTGTATAGATAGCATTAGAAACAACAATTCCAGGACCATTGTTGAAGTAAACATAACTGGATATTAACTTTGGAAATCGTTAATATCCAGTCTTACAGTTTTAATTTGAGTTTGATGGTTTTTAAAAGTTATATAGTTTTAACAGTATTATAAGTTTTAAAGTTTAATAGTTTTTAAGAGTTTTTTTTTTATATATTTCATCTTAAGTGTTCTCGTGAAAGTTTTCCTTTTTGTGGAATTAATTGTTCTAGCTGGGCTGAATATACAGATATTCATGTATGGACTTGCTTATGGAAATGTCAGACTAGCAAGCAGGCTATGTGCCGAACGATATCCCCGTAGAACTCAACCAAATCATCGCGTTTTCTCTGGAGGTCATGGTCGCCTGAAAGGAACCTGGGGAACTGACACCAAATCAATCCAACGAACCTCTAAGACCAGTTAAAATGTTGATTTCGAACTGGAAATTTTGGAACAAGATGAGAGAAATCCCTCCATGAGCGTATGTTTGATTGCTAACAACGTAGGTGTATCTAAAAGCACAGTTTAGAATTTAATTAATTCTTTATCCAATTCCTTGAAACTAATTAATATCTATCATGCTCGATAGGTTCTAGAGAAAATAGTTGGCTATTGCAAATTACATATTATTAACTACACTGACCTATAAAGTTAGTGAAGTGGTAATTAGTGACTTAGGAGGGTGATACTTTGACGCAAGATGAACAGGTTCGGTTCTAAGCCTATATAGAAAAATTTGAGGGGTCTTCAAAGCCTTTGAGTTTCTTCCATGCAAATCCCCATGGCTGTAGATGCTTGACAATTAACAGAATAGCATACATGATCGCCAACCATATCTCCTAAAACAATCCAAACTATAGCTATTAAATCCATTCGTACAGAATGTTTCAAAAACAAACTTTAACTAGCTTTCGTGCAGCACACACTGGTGTAAACAGAACGAATTCCGACATTAAATAAACGACTTTATGAGGGAAGTGAATGGGAGTTTTCCACCAAACAAATCATTTATCATCAAACATGTTTTCTAGCAAATGTGAGGCAAATCGTACAAAAGCATTACATTACAGTTACATATTCAAAGTATTAAATTTAGTTGTATTTTGAAATTCCAAGAAGACAACGCAATATCCTCGGCTAAAATATCAATTTTCTATAGCACTTAAACATTATAAATGATGCAGTACATTGTAAAATGTGTGAAACGTGTTGTATTAAGCTTTTTTGTCGGTTTTAATTTTAAAGCTACAGCAAGGTATATTAACCAATTTATGGGTAAAACACAATTTCAAATGTTTAAATAAAATAGCTCATTAAATGGAACGGTAAACACTTTTAGATACTTATCTCTTTTAATAGAGCATTTAAAGAAACGTAAACAATAAAAACAATAATTTATTATATACGGACCTTTCTAAGGCATTTGATAGTGTAAAACATAGTAAATTACTAGAAACACTTAAAATAATTGGAATATCTAAATGAGCTCTTAACTGGTTTTCTTCCTATTTGACAAATAGATCTCAATTTGTGGAAATTACCCATTTGACAAATCATAATAGAATTATCAAATCATCATCAAGTTATCAACCAATTAAATTTGGGGTCCCACAAGGTTCAATTTTGGGGCCTTTGCTTTTTTTGTGTTACCTTAAGGGCATAGAAGATAATTTAACCTACAAGCAAAATTCTATATTGTGTCTTTACGCTGATTATTCTAATTTCATTGTATCATCCAAATCTCCAGAAGAAACTGAAATTTTTACAAATGTAGAATTAGAGAATATTGGAAACTATTTCTACAATCATAACTTATTATTAAATTCACAAAAAACAAAATTTATAAATTTCAGAACAGCTCAGAACAAAATTACAAAAGAGCCAACAATAATTTACCACTCAAATAACATTCAAAAGGACAATCTGATCAACTTTCTGGGTTTAACAATAGATGAAAATTTGAATTGGGATAAACACACACAGAAAGTTTTGACGAAAACTAACTCCGGAATTTATGCTTTGTCAAATATGTCCTTTTATTGTAATTTGAAAACCCTAAAAAGTATATACTTTGCTCACATCCACTCTCATCTTTCATTCGGTTTAGCATTATATATGGGTCAACAAAAAAAATTAATATGGATAGCATTCTGAAGCGGCAAAAAGAGGCTATCAGAATTATGCTTAAGCTTAAACGAGATGATTCGGCAAAAGAACATTTTAAGAAATTACAAATTTTTACAGTTTATGGGAAATATATTTATGAAACAATTCTTATTGAAAAAAAAATGAATCTGAGCAAGTAATAAATTCAGTACATTCTTATAATTTCAGGAGGAGAAGAGAGTTTGTCCAGCCTTACAAATTAAAATAAAAAAAAAAAACCCTTATACGCTGGTAACGAGTTTCTAAAATTTGTCCCTGAATTGATAAAAAAAGAAACAAACCTATCTAAATTCAAGAAAATTCTAAAAGATTATTTAATAAATTTAGCATTATATTCTTTTGAGGAGTTTTCCACCTCCCATACATAGATATAGTATTTTTAGTATTCTGACACTATTCACTGTACCACCAATACCAATGTACATGACTTATGATGAATAAAGATGTTTGAAAAAAATACAAAAATAAAAATAAGGCAATACAAAACAAACAACTAAAACAAATGGTGGAATTTGTGAGCACAAAAACAGGCGCATAATTAGTTTGCACCACTTTGAAGTAACTTTCAAAACTTCGTTGTTGGGTTTGAAAATAACGATTCATCTTGATTCCAATCTGGATTTATTTGAATGTTACTAAAATATTGATAAATCAACTGGTTGTATCAAACTAAAGTTTCATATAACGTTTGTATAATCGTGTTTTCGTTAAAAATCTAATACTCCGATTGTTTCCAGTATTTCTTAGGATATGCACACAACCACAAATATACAACTTATAAAGCGCCTCATAAGCATTCTTCCTATGAAACTATTGACAGTCGTTTATATTTTGTGTTTTTCATTATGGATCTAAAACCTTTTTTACTTCTTTTAATGGTAAAAGCAGTTATTTCTAACTGTTCTCGTAGTAATATGTAATGAATAATTATGCATTAGTTATATTAATTCAAATGCGATTAAGTTGCAAATGACCAGCCAAGGACAAATCGATGTCCCTTCAGCGTTCACATTATAAAATATTCATCATTATAATGGTAAAAGGTGTCAATTGTACAAATACCCAGATACACTGTATAGAATAAGTGATTTATCACCGGTGGGATATTTCCCCTTAAGAGGGGTTTACTACTAATACGGGATATATTGGGATAAATGACACGATTACAAGTCTTGGTTTCACACATAGGGGTTGTACAACAATCAAAACTATGCTAATTGTATAAGTAGGTTTAATTAAATGATAACAGTATAGGCGTATTAAACTGATTACAACAAACACATAGTTTATATGAATATGATAGGGATACTTTTTGTAAACTTGAGGGATATTTAATTCCAAGAGAGGAGGTGGCCTCCCCCTGTGTGGTGGGTGGAGTTTGCGCACTCGCAATTGCAAAACAACTTACACCAGTAACATTACATTCTACCGTGTGTCGAGCATTTCAAAATACGCTGGAACAAAAAATGCAACGAGAAATGTGATTTTATCATGTTGACAGATATAGTTATGCTTTGGTGTTGGGTTTTAAGAATTTCTTTGGTGAAACAGTTTGGTGTTAAACGTTCGTAAATGCTATAAACAATGAGTTTAATGTAACACTTTTAATTCAGTTATATTTTAGGATTTTCGTAAGCGACTTAAAAATATCTTGAGTTCTTGAGGTCTCTCTAGATGTATTTGTTGTCAGATTATAAAATATTTTTTTCTGTGTCGAAGTATTACAGGGTTGTATAAACTGCTTTGCATATACATGTAAAATAAGAGTATTAAGTTAAATAAACATCAATCGCCAATGTTAAGCAAGTAAATTTTGTTTCAGTTATACTTTAAAATTTATAGCAATACTAGTTTGTTCCATATTTTACCAAACCATGTGGTGACCTAGTTTAGTGCTATGTAATATTATCAGACATTCAAGTTACTTTTAATAACATAATAGCTCATTTCATTACTGAACTAAGGTAATCAATTTAAAACCAATCTAATATCAACGTTTACGAATCGTTTTCGCAAAATTAGGCCGACCTAACCTAAAAATCAATAGTGGATTAGTTGGTGACCACTCCGCTAGGAGCGCTAGTGTCGACATCACGTGACCGCGGTATCAGCTGATTATGACGAGTGTAGAGCCGCGTACACCCCTCTCCCCCATGCCACCCTCACCGCCAGCTGACTGCCAGGAGTGTAAGAGACATTTCCTCGCTATCGCAGCCGTCGTTGTCTGTCTGGCTGGGTGTCTACTGGTGCTCAAGGTGGACAAGGATATAATCGTCGAGGAGAAGTAAGATAATAAACTGCCGGGTACTGTATCCTGTATGTAGTTTGTTGGAAAATATATATATAAAAGATTGTTGCCAAATTTATTTTAACTGAAGTAATATTTCAGCCTAAAATCAAAATTGTTCACTAATTGTTGCATTGGTCTAGGTTGGCCAACAGATTTCCTCCTAGTTTTCCCAGGTATATGAAATCTTTTTCCTGTGTGGTTGATTCTGAGGGGACAAAGGAAATCATTCATAAAAAAAATAAAATAAATAAACAACTGAGTACCGTATATGAACTAGTAGAGAACATTATGTGTGTCTTTCTTTAAGTTTCCAATGATATGTGGACAGGAATGAAATTGACATTCTTTTTGATGTTGTGCGTACCACCAAAGAATGTATGTGAAAATCTATTGCCAGTTAAGAGAAAGCTTTATCAATTACACTATGAGTTTTTTTAATAACAATAAGTTAAATGTTCAATTAATTTTGTATGCTTGTTAAAATAAATTTAGTAATCATTTTCCGACACCCGGTATTTTAAGTTAGCATAATTCTAAAATTTAATTGACTTGTACAAAATAATTAAGATATTTTGTTTTCTTAACAAAAGTGAATAATTACAGTTCATTCACATGAACCGGTACTCATAATTACTGGCCCCAAAACAAGATACAATCGAGATACTTTAAAAAAATCTACAAACAAGGTTACAAGAAAATTGTTTATAAATCGTCGATTTGAAAAACACAGTTAGAAATATAACTCTGTATACGTTCCAAAACGTGCCAAATGTAAACTAAAATGTAAAAATGCAGTTATATATTTTGAAAACGGTGATATTGTGTTGAAGCTAATTGATAATACGCAAAAAACTATAATTTTAAAACAAACACATAATATGTATAATATAAAATATTATTTGGAAAAGTGCACAAACTAAGTTAAACATACAATAAAAGACAAAGTGATACAAACATATCCCTCATTATAAAAACAAGCAGATACTTTCTGTTAAACATACTACTGAAAATAGCCAATAAGTTATGATAACGATGGTATTGTATCGTACTACAAACCCACTTATTATTTTATTGTTGGATTCTTGAACGTAACCACACTCTTAGTACAATTTGAGTAATTATTCTTATATTGCAAAAGTTTATTAACATATAGTTTGTTGCATTCTCACTAACCCAAACTAAGACGGTTTAATAACAGTACACTAAACATAACAAAAATTTAAGCTACTCATAATTTATTGGTTAAAAAATGCCTAGATAAAACCCTAGGAACGCCTGCAATTTTCCAGACGCAAAACAGATGCAGCACTCATATTGCGTATGGGAGATCGCAGGCGCGCCTCACAGTACTGTACTCTTCAGAGCACTTGTAACTGACAGCCTGAGTCCGACTCACCTTATACTAAGTGTAAAGACGCTCGTAGTACAATAATACAAACACACTGTAGTTCTATAACTGGGTGGTTATACTGTAGTGCTTTACCTTAAAACATGTTCCCTCCTAGGTGCACGGGCATCATACAAAATCTAATATTTCTACAGCAATATATAGTGGGAGCTGAAAAATACATGCAAATTTACTCATCTTATGTCTCCTCCTACATCTTGATAATAAACATCAGATAAATATGAACCTCTAATTGTTATCATTAAACACAGCCCCTCTCCTTTTTCAACCAACAGTGCAGCCGGCCATCCACAGTGACAATTCATGAGAAGGGATTAGATATGTCTCACTTTGTACAGCTAAGTTTCCAACGTTGAACCCAAAACAGTGTGTTTTCATGCAAAATCCTTAAAGGTTTTTATCTTAAAGCAAACAAGGAAAACATAGATTTGCTTACAATCATATAATTTGATGTATTGCATAGATCTTTTGATGGGAAAACCATAAATTTTTGTTGAACATTACATTAAAATTCAAATTACGATTTCATTATTAAAATGAAAGTTATACTGTTTATCTTTTTCAGGATAGAACCAGTGGTCGCCACTAAGTTGGTGGGGCTGATTTTGGCTCGGGGAGGTAGCAAAGGACTTGCTCGCAAGAACTTGGCTACCATCAACAACAAGACTCTACTCTCCCGTGCACTGACAGCTATGGCCAACTCAAACTGTAATTCTTTGTGTGTATATGTAAAAAATAGACCTAAAATTGGAATGGTTTAATTAGGAAGGAAAATGTTTACTACCTTGCTGTAATGACACATTCAATAGTTATTTGTGCAACTAGTGAGGAAAGTGAGCAATTGACTCACTCGAGAGAAATCCTTACTCACGAGCCGTAGGCGAGTGAGGAATGGTTTCTCGAGTGAGGCAATTGTACTTTGAACTCGAGTTGCACATTATACTTTTCCTACAGTTACCATAAAATAAATAAATTGGTGATGAAACATAACCTATTTTTACACAGAAGTGAACTTTTAATATAACATTTAATGTGAAGTGACAAATGCAACAGTACGCTGATTTACAGCCAGTACTGCCAACGTATTTCGCGCGCATACGACGTTGCCTGCATGTTACGCGCTCACTATTTCGTGCCTTCACGTTGAAAATCTGGAGTGAGACAAAGTAATTAGAGTGAGACAATGTTAACATTGTCTCACTGATGAGCGAATTGGCCACTTTGCTTTCTCAAATCAGTGAGAGAACATGTACATTGTTAGGTAACTGTAGGAAAATATTTTTCTATTCAGATTAAATTATTAAGTGAATAAAATAGCTTTTTTCAGTAGATCTTGGCAATGTTCCAAGACCCTTTAAGATTTATTTTACAAAAAATCTAATTGGTTTATCTCATTATTGTGAGTAGCAATGGAATTCACATTAAGTTTAACCTAACCAGAACGTGAATTCAATAATTAAATTATATATTCTAATTGATTATCAAGGCTGGCTGTTCTGTAATGTTTATGATTGATTTTCAGACATATACATTTGGATTTTTAAATTTAAAATTTGACTTCTTTATTTGCGGCTTTACTATTGGCAAGTTATGCAATTATTTATCTTTTTGATAAGTTTTCTAAGCTGTGTAAGGTATCATTTACATATTGCATATTGCATACACGTCCTGGTAAAATTGGTAAAAACAGTGTTTGCAATTTTTATGACTGAAGTTTTCGTAAAAACTCCCCAAAACAAAACAAAATAATGCTTTGGATCCAATAAAACATGTTTTGGTTATCTATAAAAAATTAGTGTACATATAATACATAATGGTTTTGTATCATTCCAAAGGTTTTGATGAGCTGTGGGTGTCAACGGAAGACAAGGAAATTGCAGAGGAGGCACTGAAGTACGAGGCCAATGTTCACCAACGACCAGCCTCCGTGGCTGAGGACAACACTTCCTCTATCTTGGCTGTCCAGGAGTTTGTAGAGAGACATCCAGGTCAGCCAATTGTAAATTACATCTTGATAATTGTGGGTTTACAAAGTGTTTATTCTTCTTGCCTCTTTGATTCAATTATTTTCCTAGTTTTCTGCAACTTCAACTTGCTCAGTCTAGTCAACCACTGAGCCTCTCCATCTTCTCCTATCTTTTCAAAGTTCCTCTTCCTTCACCATCTACTATCCCACTCTTTCACCCCCACATCCCGTTTCACTTCATTGATCCATTTTATTCTCGCTCTTCTTGAGTTAATTTCTTCTTTTAATATTAACAACCTGTATCCTAATAATTTCTCTCTTCCTTCATTATCTTGTTATAGGTGTGGTGCAACCATCTAAGTCTTGCTTCTTCAAATTTTTCTTTTAATATTTGAGAAAATAGTGTTTCATAAACTTTTGAAGTTGAGGATAGGTTTGCCTTTATAATATTACAAACTTATACTATTAGTTTATGCAAAATAAGTGATCCTACTTTTTTCTTTGATTGTATCTTTGAATCATCTGCAACTGATTTTTACCTCAATAATTTTGTGGAACATGTATGGTAAATTTATTCATCCTCATACTTTTATAGGGTCAGATCATGCACATGAACAAAGTTTACCACAACGGCGTAATAATCTGCAAATTTTGGTCATATTTTGATCATGATGCAATGGGCCAGATTAGACTGACATGGTTTAACTTATCAAAACGTTGCAATTGTTTTTCAGATGTGCGGTTGGTGGGCCTTGTCCAATGCACTTCTCCATTCATCAAAGCCCAATGGCTGCGCGAGGCTTGTCTTATGATGACTTCTCAAGGGTATGACTCTGTATTCTCTGCAGCCCGACAGAAAAACCTGCGTTGGGAGCCTGCGGAAAGTACGTACAAACTTACAAGAAATATAATTGTTGAGGTTTTGGTCACTGGGAGGTTCTTAAGGGTCAGAAAATAGTAAATTTATATTTTCTAATACTGAATCTTGAGAGTTTCTTTAGTGATTGAAATACGATTTTCTGCACAAAAGTGGTATTTACAAAAACCATGGAATCTGAAATATTTACATGTACTTTATTCTTTTACTACAAAAAGAAATCCAATTTAGAAAGACAAATAAGTTAACTGTATCAAGATATTTCAACCAAAGTTAGTTTTTGGTAGTTTGTAGTATAGTTTTTGAAATAATGTTTGATTTTCTAAATATATTTTATGTTTTGTAGATGGAACAGTGAAGGAGCTGAACTTCAACACAGGGGAACGGCCTCGAAGACAAGAGTGGAATGGGGAGTTGGTAGAAAACGGAATGTTTTACTTTGCAACAACTGAGCTGGTGAATCAAAACAAACTCCAGGGTGGAAGGTGGGTAGCCAAGTAGAGCTAAAGGGAATAAAATTACTAAGGTGAAAGGTTTTTGACGAGTTGATAGATATGCAAAGTGCTGAACTTTAATCAGGTGAATCGGTGGCTCAGTAGGTAGAGTGAGACTTTGAATTTTGGCCCTATATCATCAATGCATTGGGTTCAAATCCTGGTGCCTGTCACTACATTTGGTCAGTACTGTTCAATTCTTTTACTGTGCCAGCTAGCTCACTCCTTGCTTTACTTGATAAGTTCAACAATCAGGCCCAAAGCCTATGTGAATGGACAATTGCAAGGTTAAATGAGGCCGCCGACTACGGGTATATTATCTTTACTGTACACAGTACTGTATATGATGAAAATATAATATTTGGTTAATATTCTAAATATTAATATTAATTAATACATTTCTTTGTTAGTTACATTGAATTCCTTCCTCTTTGCTGGATTCCTTAGGTAAAACTATGCAATTTACAGACTGCTAAGTTCAAAGGTTATTTTTATGTCCACAGGGTCGGGTATGTAGAGGTCCCCAAAAACTACAGTTTGGAGGTGGACACTCCGTTAGACCTCTTGATGGGAGAAGCCCTCGCTCCAATTTTGGATCCTACACTTGACAACCCAGACTAAATTTTTGGACATCTTGTCTCATAGGTCTGAGGTTTCTAGCAACTGCCTAAGAAGTTAAATATCTTTAATACAGAGGTTTCATATTTTCAATAGATCTTCTTTGAGATTAGTGAGAATTGGACAGATGACATAACATGGGTAGGTACAACAGACCAGTGTTAGATAAACTGCTGTGTTAGATATAGTTAACTGCATGTACTTTTGTATCTTGAACCATTAATTGGAACAACTGGATAAGAAGAACACCCTTGTAAAAAAAACACAGTTGATAACCATACAGACTATCTTTGCCATGTGTCCATACAGGGCTAAACAGTTTTTTTACTCGTATGTCTAAAGGTCTTGTTGAAGCTAACATGTTCTAAAATGATAATTAATGTACAAGATAATTCATGTTTTTTAATGATATGAAACCTGGTAGGTAGTTGCAACTCCTCATCATAATGAGACATTGATGTTTTTGCGTTTATAAACTTCACAGAAAGTTAACAGCTTTGAAAAGGAAATGATAAATTTGTAATTCATATTTTTTTTTTCATGTAATGCTTAATTTACAACCTAGGGTAACATATTTGTACTTTAAGAATAACAAAATGTTTAGAGTGATAATACCATTCAAAATGGGTAATTTTGATTTTTTACAATCATAATTTTTTAGAATAGATTTTTTCAAAGCTATAAGCTTAGTAAATGTTTTATTTATCATATTCAATGTCATATTATTGCATTTTTATCACATGTATATCCTTAGTCTCACTAAAGCAATATATTGCTTGCAGCGTGGTAGTGACGTCTGAATGAGTGAAAATGCAATGGCTTTTTTAACTAATGATAATCATATCAAATAGCTATAGTTTGGACACATCTTAAATGCTCAACTCCACAGAAATCTACCTGGCCCCGGCCGTCAAGAAAAACGGCCCTGACAAAGATAACTTTGTCTTCACTTGTACATTAATTCACTATCAATAAAATTATATATTTTTTTAAAAATTTACCCTCTTATATTAAAGAATACAGACACAACTAAGTATATAGTTTAAATTCATGTGAAGGGTAAGTGTGAGTGAAACAAATGCTTGTTACGGACTAAGATCAGCTACACCACACCTACTGTGTTTGAGTTAGCTGCTTCATTAGTTTGTAGTACCATGATAGGGTTTTAGAGGTTTCAGGCAATACTTTTTCCATTCCTCAATAAAAAATAGCATACATTTTTATCAATGATAAGAGTAAATTTAAATTTGCAATAATGTGACACTCAATTGACCTTGTTAATATTCGAAATGTGTTTAAAACACACAAAAAAATAGTTTTTGGAAATACATTTTATAATTAGTAAGTATCTTGTTTTTGAATAAATACTATTATTACTGATTATTTAACTTGTATGTTTCTTTCTACTTCTAGTAAATCATTGCTTTTGTCTTCTGAGCTAACAATTAATTTCTCACATATCTTTATCCACCCAAGAAAAGGAGAACCAAGGCTACTAGATATCTATAGAGATTCACTTCTCCACGAATTAATATTATGGTGAACAATAAAGAAGTGTACACCATTTGTCTTTTCTTATGAATTTTTACTGTATAAGATAAGACCAATAACACAATGTGGTCCTCAAAAAATTAAGTTGACTTGAGACCAATATTCTAGTTTTGATAGCTTGCTAGATAACGTGCCTTCCCTCAAATTTTTTTGTTGAAATGTAAAATGTCAAACTGTTTCCAAATTGATGAATCGTCTAAGCTGTACAGTAAAGATAAACTAGGTAAATATAGCCAAGAGGACATCAAAACAACATGTGAAATAAATATAATTTATTTTATTTCTTACACATCTAAAGATGTTGTCGTTAGCAAACAAACAAACAAAAATACCATAACACACAAGTAGTCACATTAAACAAATTAACCCATCAAATTTGTTTGTTCAACTTTGATCTAATGTAGGAACGATCTTACTCTTAAACACCTTCTTAACCTGGTTTGCTCAGTCTAATAAGTAAAAAGTAGATTACTGATACTGATGTAGGGTTGAAATTACCGACATCACAATTATAGGAATCTGGAATCTCAATGGTAAAACACCCCTATCAAATTTGGAGGATATCTTTTTTATCGGCTCAATTTAATTACTTTTATCATTTTGTCTACAGCACCATCAGGGCTAACCTATTACACTTCAAAATTAAAATTGTGTTAACAAATTACAAAACCTAAAAGAGTTTCATTTTTTTAAATTAGGCCTTTTAAATAACAAATTTAGGATATTGTCTCTTGTCTATGACCATAGTTATTTTTCTTGTACTCATTAAAAATTTTCGGAGCCTATCAATTTGGCAATTTCCCCAAAACACCACACAAAACGATGCTTGGATTAACCAGATTTAGTTTATAACAAAGAAATACAATTTAACAATACATTAATACTCTTGGTATTTAATATATACTTATATAACCACAGTTGATGTTGATACTTGGATAAGAAGGGGTTAAGGTAAGGATTTAAAAAAATGCATAACACAATCTTAATGAAATTAAAACAAGAAAACACAAAATACAATATAATATCTCTGAAATAAAAAATAAATAACTGAAAACTGGAGAAATTCCAGGAAAAAAATTTCTGACAAAAACCTATACAAATTGTATACAAATAAAAATTAGTAAAAATTGAATACATTTTAAATATAGTTTAAGGTGATTTAATATGATAACTATACTGACAGGAGGATTCTAAAGAACCCAAATGAAACAAAAAAGTCTTAAATCTAATAAAACATAAAACTAATCAAACAAACTTTGATCTGATGTAAAGGCCTTAACATTTGGTCAGTTTTAAGCAAAGCTTAAAATAATTTATAAATAAAAACTAAAAAGCAATATGAATGGTTAAACTTAATAATTATGAGCTTAACTCCAATTTAAAGAATAATATTTTTAAACTGAGCCATTTTCAAGTATGTTAACTCTTTTCTACCCTATCTATCATAACTTTTGAGCTGTGCCTATCTACAGTGCTTGTGAGATTTCAAAAATAATACTGACTTTGCCTAGACACTATCACAGTTTTCCGCACCAAACCTTATCTGTTCCATTAAATATTGTTCAAATGTATCTACAGGTGTAATTCTAATCCTAATTTGAGGCTTTTTAGACGTCGCGTCAAGGTAAAGCTAAGTGGACTTATTGGTATTAATTAAAAAAAAAATAGGAAGAACACACAAACAAAAGCAGTTGTAAAAAACATAATGTAGGCTACTAAAACTACCACTCGCAAACAGGTAACAAAGTATTGTAAGTAGAGTTAAAAAACACATAAAGTCAAACAAAGTTTTAACTTTATTTTATTGTTTGGTACCAATCCTGCAAATCTATAGTTTTTTAATACCAACTTACAATGCTCAATGCATTGTGCATTGCTATTTGAATCAAAGGTGTAACATATAAAAAGAATAAAGAAAAAAAAAACATAAAATCATTGGCTTTTGTCAATGATAATATATACTCTTATCACAAAGATGAGACTCATGTTCAACTATTAGCAAGAAGTTGCTACCATTTTCTTAGGGCGATTTTCTTTTAATAGGGTGAGAATTACCAAAATAAAAATAATGTTTAACAATGTTTTGAATCTACTTAAACTATAAATTCAATGATTTCTATAATAGGCCTTAACCGTTTCACACAGGTATTTTTCTAGGACGGATCGTAAAATATGGATGTATTTAACAGTAATTACATACTCCGATAAACATAGAAATTTTTATATGAATTGGTATTTAAAAAAAATATATTATTAGCAAACAATATCAATCTTAAGTGTTACAGTGGACCATATACAAATCTATATATAAAACCAAAACTATCTAGATATACAGTTTTGAATGTAAAACGCCTTATTACTTTAAAATTTTTCTTCATACAGTTATTTTTAACAAATTGAAAAGGCAAACTTCATGTCATAAGAAAAATGATGTTTAATACTTCAAAGGAAGAAAACCATATTTTGCATTCAAGTGAGGTTTTTTTCTGTTGCTAACCTAAAATCAGTATGGAAGTTCATACTGTGTTGCTATGGCTTTTTTTCTCAGTACTCTTTAATATTTCTTCAGTTTGAAAATTACATGATTAATACAACTTACAAAACATTATAACATTCAAGTTTAACTCACTGCTGCATTAAAACTGACAGCTAAACTTCGGTGATAAAATAGGTGGTCCTACCAATTTATTAAGAATAAGATAGATCAAATAATATATGAAGTGATTTTCCTACCAACTAATAATATCAACTCAGACTATTGTCCGTTAATCACAATATTCATTTATAATGATTTGAGACATTGTTAGCAAATCATATTTGCTTTCCTTTATAAGTGTGATTTATATTTTGAAATAATTCTCCCTCACCACTCTAATTATGTCAAAACCTACTTTGCAATCGTAAAATCGATTTCTTGGTCAATGATACAAAAAAATAAAACTGTAATATATCAGGTTTTCAAAGCGATCGCATTCTTTCAATAAGAATACGTCTATACTCCATTTGACTCTAGCTATTCGTATGTTAAATGCTTTTCTGCCTTATTTTAAGGCAATAACTTGACTAGATGTGTCAAATCCTTCACTTCATTGGTAAACAGCTTATTCTGAATCATCTTCGTCTTTCCTTTGTTTACGCTTTCTCAGTACATTTTGTTCAAATTTTCCTTTCTTTTTGTTTATTAAGTCTTTTTTCTCTTGTTCATAATTTTGTTCATTGTTATGTTCATTTTCACTTTCCTCTTCCTTTTCATCATTGTCCTCTTTTTCATCACCCTCAACCTTTTCATCATCCTCATCCTTTTCATCATCTTCATTTTCTGACTCTTCCTCATTTTCCTCTTCTTCATCACTTTCTTCACCCTCATTTTTTTCTCTAGCAATGAGTTTTAACTCTGCAAGTGAAACTGCGTCATAAGAGGACATAGATATTTCAGACGTTGAGTTTTTCCTTGAATCGTCATATTCTGTTTCATCATCAGAGTCTGGTGAATCTTTGATTGCTGGCTTGGAAGGGTCGTCTTCACTCTCCTCAGTCCCCAAGGTTTCAGTAGTCGCCAACGTTTCATCAGAGCTGCCACTAAACCGCTGGCAAGTCCATTCGTACAGCTGATGCAGAGCGAGACATACAAAAGCTGCTGTAATTATTGTGGGCAGGTTGTACAGACTAATTGGGCAGTAGATCAGAGTGAGTGTTGCCAACACGAACATGACGTTAGCCATGTGCTTGTACATTCCTCTGTAAATTTCAGATAGTTTAGATTTTTTAATTGCACTTTAGAATGTTCATTAATCAATTGATGTTTTCTATGACTAACAAACATGCACATGTAATAGGGGGACCTCAAATAACAACTAACTCCTTTCTTTATGTACCCCTCTTTGTACCTAAATCACTCAAAAAGTTCAGAGGATAAAAAAAACTCCCCAGAAGAATAATCCACCCATACCTACATAATAAGCAAATATCACTCCAATATTTACTCAGACCAGTTTATAGGTCCTAAATAAATCAGTTTTAAACTGGCCTCTCATGAACATTTTTACACATTGAGAAATATGATGATTTAACAAACAAATGATCAAATCGTATTATGTAGTGTATAATATTTTAACCATTATTGTCAAACTATGTATTGGGGCGTAAAAATCCATCCTAGAGCTGCCCTTGAATCTTATGCTTTACTTAATTAATCTACATTAGGTTTTATTATGAGTTATCAATAATGCTACCACAAGGCCAAATCCTTAGAAGACCAGTGACAGTGACAACATTGTCAGGCAAGCTCTTGGATGGAATGGAATCCTAAGGGAAATAGAAATAGAGGAATACCAAGACTGATTTGAAGAACAGTACAGTAGTACAGAAAGAAATCAAGGAAAGGCAAGAGCTGGGCTGAAGAGTAAGAAGGGTGATCCAGAATCAGAATTGAGTGCGGTGGCAGGTAAATTCAAATCCTCTTTATTGCTCTTAGATACAAATGATCAACTCAATAACCAAAGACATAGTTTGTGCAACTACACAGAATTATCTATTTATATAAAATGAAAATCCAATGTATGTTTGTTTGTTTGTCCTTTATGGACTCCGAAACCGCTCAACAGATTGTAATGAAGCTTTCAGGCATTATTAAGCATTATAGTTAGCGTAGCGAACGAGCTAACCTGAAGGCAAGTGAGCGCAGCAAACGAGCTCCAACCTAAAGGTGAGTAAGCAGAGCAAACAAACTTCAACCAGGACGTGATTGAGCCATGAGAACAAGCTCATCTTGAAAATGAACGAGCATTGACATAAAACCACATTAGGACAGAACGAC